TTACGGTTATAAATGGTACGTCATTTGTCGGTGGCAAATTACAACAGCCGGATATGGAGTATGTACGCTACATATTTGAATGGTGAAATAACGACAAGCATATTTATTTAAATTCCGAATATCCCTGCGTCTACATTGCTAACTTCTAAAAGAAATATCTGTAATATTTAACAATTGGAAAATCCGAGATAAAATAGTTTTAAAAAATAGCTAAAAACAAGAAAAGTAATGTACCAAGTCCCTTCAGTGTGTTTTATTATTGTTTTTACCTTTTTTTTTTTAGCCTTGAAAAGTGTAACGTTAACGACACGTGAGCTCTGAATTCTGTACCAATGAAGAAGGGGTATATTCTCCTTCAAATTTTCCAAAGTTCCTCAGTTTCAGGTTTCCGATGAATAATTAATATTAACTTCCTACTTAGAATGAAACTAAAATTCAACCTGGTAATAAATATAGCTAATTAAACATACTTTTCTTACGTGTTTGCTTATAAATATTAGAATGCATTCTTTCACCAGTCGGGTAGCCTAGCTGTTAATGGTATTTTCGGCCATAAATCCAATAATATCGCATGAGGTTCGGCCAACTTAGAATATTTAGGTTAGCCCTGGATACAAATTATCATTTTTTATTATTATCATTATTATTGGGTACCAAAAATAAATCTAGCACTGAAAGAGTTGTTTTTCTATAAATGTAAAAGAGATAGAAACCTTATGGTAAACTGTAATTCAAAAATGGGCTGTGATTCAATTTTTTTTCTCCCGTTCATCAAGAATACATGAAATTGACACTTCAAAAGCACTGTTTTAAAACAACAGGGACGGAATTTCGTTTAGTATTTATGATGTTGTTAAATCCTAACTTAAAACGTGTTGTGTTTGTTTTAAAGAAAGATGGCTAATTTATATTTATTTATTAGTTTTTGATTTCATAGTGAAATGTACTGTAGCATTCCCATGGCAACAAAAACAACAAAAGTTTATTTTACTGAGAGTATTCTAAGACCATCCACACAATTCGTAAAGTGAACAACACGGCTACAGTCATACTTGATAACCCCGTAGTTCATACAATATTAAACAGAAAACTCAGAACAAACACAGTTGGCTAGAAGGCTGTTGCGTCTTTGATGCGATAACCAGTTCGGTTGCTATGGTAACCATGTAGCTACGACCACAAGTCATGGAGGTTGACAAGGCAACGTAACCAACAGGTACTTAGCTTTTATACGAATACAAAAAATATAACAACCGAACACTGGAAAACTCTGTATTAAACAACAGCAAGCACTCTGTTTATCATATTCATTACGTAACACAAAATAAGTAGTACAGAGCTTAACTAGAAATTGATTGGTTTGAAATTCATATAATGGGATTACATTTTCCAAATACAGTCTTTAAAGGCTCTTGTGCATTTTAAATAGAAAAATTTAACTAGTTCACCAACGTGCATTGTTGCGTTTCGATCACATTATTCACACCAACAAACTAACTTAACGATTAAAAACCAAACATTAAATACAAATACGAACCTTTGTTAATATAGTACTGTTGCGACGCTGTAATACATCAACGCCCCTAAAATGTAGTTTTTGGAAACTTAACCTTTGAACTGGCCAGTTTACCCCGATATAAAAATCTTATGTATACTTCAGTACATTTTCTATGAAGCATAAACGACGTGATTCCCGTGTTTTATTAAAAAGGCTTAGCAAGACAGTTTTCATACAGATCGTCGTCTGCAACTAAGTGATAAAATTTTTTTAATTATTACTAATAACATAATTAAAATATTGCCTTTTGCTGCTCTTAAAATGCCTACATTTTAGTTCTTCTTTAAGGAACTTTATTAAGAACGTGTTAGGAGGCGCTGTATAAATTAATGAAACGTGCACATGTAAATCGTCTGCGTTAAAAAACAACGGTTGCAACAATTTTCTTAATTTTTTAACACCGGTTTTACAAGACACCGCGAGTCATGTCGGAAAAATTGAAAGAGGAATTTAATTATCAATAGGATCTCATGATCGCTTTTTAAGCACATTTTTTCTAAAATATTTATGCACTAAAATTGTTTTGGGTCCATAACTAATAACGTATCCTTCAAACACGGGGCAAATAAAATCTCGTTTTTAAAATAACCATATGCACATGACTGAGATTAAAAGAAACCAAAAAAAAAAACGAGTTGCCATTATTAGATCCACATGTAAAAAACTGGATTCGGTTAATTGATATAAAATCGAAAAACTGAACCCCCCCCCCCGTTTTTAAAATAACTATATTCACTTGATTAAGACAATTCATTAAGAGTTAGTTCCCTCAATTAAAATCACACACACACACACACACAAATATTCACTTGATTTGAACAACACGTATACACCAGAAAATATGCATGAAATATCAAAATGTTATCTTACAGAGATGTTCTAGAACAGTGGTCCTCAGTGAAATTCAAAAAAAAAAAAAATTTCGGGGACCGACATTCCAAATAAAATATCTGGTAATTAGTAAAGTAAAATAATACGAAATTAAGAAGAAGAAAATACAGCCAAGACACGTTGCGGACCGGTAGAAAATAATTTGGGAAACACTGTTCTAGAAAACACTTGACTGAAGATGATTATATAAAATTAAACAGTTCACTGCGATTTCGCTTTAGGCTGTGATGGTTCTGTTTTTATTGCTACGTCGACAAGTTACTAACTCCCCTTTTCTTGAGCTGTAAGAAATTTGAAATTTTGTTGTATACACACACACACAAAACAAGCACTGAGCGGAATAGCATTACTTTCCCACGGTGTTGGCAGTATTGTACTCCAAGTTATACAACTGGGATTCTCAAACTTTATCAGTCAGGAATCCCTGTTGTGAAGGTTAACAACTGAAGACTGCCCCAAATCCAAGTAGCTGAAGATCAAGAGAGAAGTATCTTTCTAGAAAAGAAAACAATGATATTTTTTAGTTTTAGTTTTGATTTGTTTTAGCGCAAAGCTACACAATCTGCACTAGCCGTCCCTAATTTAGCAGCGAAAGACTAGAGGGAAGGCA